CTCCTTCCTCCCCTTCTTGAAAATGGGGACCACATTGGCCCTTTTCCAGTCCTCCGGGACTTGGCCCGTGCGCCACAAGTGTTCAAATATTCCCTCCAGTGGCTCTGCTACGATGTCGGCCAGTGCCTTCAGCACCCTCGGATGGAGCTCATCCGGGCCTGCCAACTTAAAGGCATCCAGTTCTTCCAAGTGACTCTGCACCATCTCAGGGTCTATGCATGGAAGTCTGGTGCCTTGCTGCTGCCTCTCTACAACCCCAGTGTGAGACTTGTCGTGCCCCTCGCTTAGGAACACTGAGGCAAAGAACTCGTTGAGTTCAGCCTTGTCCCCCCTGTCCGTCACCAATTGTTTCTGCCCATTTAGCAGGGGTCCTATTCCTCCCTGGGCCTTTCTTTTACTCTCTATATATCTAAAAAACAATTTCTTGTTGTCCTTTACTTGGGATGCCATCCTCAGCTCCATGGTAGCTTTTCCTCAGCTCCGTGGTAGCTTTGAATGGTGCCATGGGTGACCCTGCATGTGTTAAGGTGCAGCAGGATGACAGCTGCAGGGATCATGGCCCCTGCTATGATGCCTGCCAGCTGTGGAGGAGATCGGTGCAGAGGGGTTCTGGGGCCCTGCACCCCTAGCTGCTGACAGACAAAACTCCTGCCAAGACTGTGTCTGTCTTGCGGCAGTTGATTGTCTGTATTGATTCTTTCCTTTCCTTAATCCGGTTTTGCAGGTGCTAACTGATGCTGGTTAAGTCGTTATGTAGTAGCTAGGTCCTGTGTATTGAGCTGGTACCCAAGTGAATCATGAATGATTGATTGGTAAATGGTAACACAGCAGCTTAGCAGCCAGGCCTGCAACAGTGTCTCCCCTTCCCACCCCAAAACAGACACAGTCAGTCCCACAGCACCCACGGCACCAGTTTTGCTTGTCCACAGCTTGTGGGGCAGTTCCCCCCAAACCCCTGCACCAATCTTCTTGAAACTTGGTAGACTTTGTGGTATGAGTAAGAGCTACAAGCTCTGCAGTTTTGACGCTCCTGTGTTGTAACACATATACATCACATGAGTTTTGCTTTCAAGAATTTGGAGTGCTGTTCCCCCCAAACCCCTGCACCAATCTTCTTGGAACTTGTCAGGCTTCATTCTCTCTGCAGAGTCTACCATCTCTGAAAATTTCATCCAAATCGGACAAAAAACAGCAAAGTTATAGATATTTTATTGTTTCTCCATTATACCCTAGGGCCGGATCTCTGAGGCAGCTCCAAACCGCTTCAGGAAGCCGAAGGAGGCAGCGCTTCGACCTGGACGTGCTGCTTCGGACCCCGAAGCGTCCGAAGCTTCTCCAGATCTGAAGTTCTGTCCAAAGCCTCGCACAGCCCTACGAAAGACTCAATTCAAATCCCAATGAAGGTGATGGAAACACTCCACATTCTTTTACATTGCCTTCAACAGAAACTGAATTGGTTGCACAAATGCAGTGAACCCATTACGTATGACTATGTACAAGTGTTGTAACATGCACATGAACAAATGCACACGCAAAGAAACAAGTTTTTTCCAGAGTGTGATTTTAAAGATGCACTTGAAAAACAGTTTATCTGTGACAAAACCTCAAGAGATCTTTAATCTGGAATATGTGACCGCATCAAGTTCTCACTTCAAACAAATCAATTTAAGACATTGAAACATTATCCAGTACTCCAATAATTCAGTTGTTGTAACAGGATTTCTTCTAACAAAGAGACCAGTACATTTTTTTTGTCTTGAAAGAATGCTCTTGATAGTATCAGGAGACAATTAGCTGAAAAGGTAAAATAAAAATGTAACTCTTCATTCCAGCTGTCAGACTTGGGGGCAGGGCGAAAGGGGGAAACAGACAATGTTTCCATGTAACAACAGAGTACACTAGGAGAGAACTTAGCCTTTGAGTGTTTTTTGGTGCAGAATCCTGGTGAAGTTCATGGGATTTCATATGGGCTCAAGAATCTATGCTAGAGACCCTATTACAGCACTGGGATTTAAATTTGCAATATCTGTCTACAAACAGATGTATATCATTCACTAGAAGCGTTACTATGGAGACATTTCTCTCTACATATTCAATGGGGCTCATGCATTTTTGTACTATGCTTGTAGTTCTAAAAATAAATAACCAATAACAGTTGCTACAATTTAACAAAGGAAAAAGACGTGTCAGAAACATTATATAAAACAAATATCAGAAGAGGCACAAAAATACAGTGCTATTGGACAAGGCAGCTTTGCACATAACGGCAGCACTATCAATTATACTGAGCACACTGTACATTCAGTGTTGTATCATTCAAACACACGTTGTCACCAAAATTAATAAAGAGCACATCTCACAAAGTGACAAAAAAGAACCTCTCCATTTTACAAGTGTGAGCTTTAATAGGAAGAAACTGGAATAGGGATAAGCCCAAACTGTGGGTCCAGGCATAGGCAGAAGGAGAAAATATTATTTGGGGGGGCTGAGTCTGTGCGCTTACACACACACATGCCCCCCCAGCAGGTAAATCTAATGTGGGAAAGGGGCATGGGGTGGGGGGGCAATTGTGGCCCCTGTGGTGAAGGAGGGAGTGGGGCAGAGGCAAGGGCAGGGGCTGGAGTGAATTGCACCCCAGGGCCTGGGTGGGTTGTGAGATGCTCGGAGTCTGGGCAGCTTGTCCAGGGGCATGGTTGGGCTCCTACTGCTGCGTGTGCCCTGGGAGATGCTTAGGGGGCACGTGCCCCTCTGGATCTGTGCATGGGGTGGAGGCAGCTGCCACTGTGGGCTGGCCTCTGCACCCTGCTGCCGCTGTCCCGGGTGTGGTGTGATGCCATGTGCCTGCCGCACATGGGGTTCAGAGCCCAGCTCGCAGCGGCAGCCACCTCTGTCCCACACACAAATATGGGGGCATGTGCTCCCTGGGCCTCTGCTGGGGTATGCACAGAGCCCAGAGCCCACCCCCCAGTACCACTGGATGAGCTGCCCAGGCTCAAAATGTCCCATAGTCCATGCCGGCCCCGGGGCCCCAATCACTCCAGCCCCTGCCCTTGCCTCTGCCCCTCTTGCTCCCTCACTGCAGGGGCTGAATCTTCTCCCCATGCCCCTTCCCC